TTGTATTTTTCAGAGCAATATTAATATCCATTAGCAAGGGAAATTCTCCAAGTTGTTATTGAATGGTGCCGACAACTTCTGGAAATTTCTGGCCCACTACTATGGTGGACAAATTAACTTATTAATAATAATTAACTTATTTAGCCTAATTAACTTAATTAATTACATTCCGAGACAAGAAATCATATAGAAGAGTACAAAAAAATTATTTACTTTATTCCGTCAGTTCTCCAAAATTTCAATAAATATATAATCCCTCAAACCATCAACAGCCACTAAGTTACCAGCAGTCCCGCCTCAAATAGATTTCTATTTTATCACCATTTCCACCACCAAAAATCAAAGATGGCGTGTATAAACAAAACCTTTAGTATTTTCGGTATTCTCTTACATGGCATGTTTGCGTGTCCTACTAATCCAATATATTAATGGATTTATTCACTGTGAAACTTAGCCGTTCCTCTACTTTATATACCGTTACTAGTTATTCTCGGGATTGTCGCCCCCCTCCATTGATTAATCAGCTGTGATTCGGCATCACCAAAAAGAGAGGGAGTAAGGACTGAAAGTGATAACACGAGGAGAAAGGGTAAACGAGTAAACGTCAGTGTTCAAACAAAAAGCCGGGTATTTTTGGGTCAGACGGGTCGGCAACACCGAAGGAAGAATTGAATTCAAGAGATCTCTTGAATTTTTTTTTCAAGTTGAGGCAGCCTCAGATTAACCATTTGCAATGTTAATGGAGTTTGGACTTTGTTTGGAGTATATAGACTTGGACGAGGGTTGAGGTAGTGGACACGTCAATGAAACGCTCAGTAGATATTTTTACCTGCGAGGTGTAATATCATCAGTAAAATCCAAGGGGTGACCAGAAATAATGGGGGATAATTGTGAATATGTGGATCTGTTGGTGGACAGACGTAAGACTTCGGATTTTCTGTGGGTGTCAAGACCCATGGACCCTCTTGCTCCTCATCGTTTACCTCCAGAAATGAAGTACACCAGAACACAGGCTATTGAAGCAGCTCTAGATAATCCCAGGGTGGTTTTTAC